GACGTGAGAGAGAGAGAGATATAGTAGAGCCCTGCAATTTTCGTAAAATCCAACCTTTGTCGACGTACCGTAAGCATTCAACTACTTCTGCAGAGACAACTTTTACTCCCTTTTTATACAGATTGCTGTGACGGAAGGACGAACCGTATTTTTTCACCTTCGTTATCTTTTTCCTGCTTCTGTGATCATTCTGTCCCCAGTTTCCTTTCATTCACAGTGGTAGGCTTGATGCAGTCAAGTGGTACGCAATTGCTTATTGGGCACCTTCCAGCCCGCTAAAACATCAACAACTACGTAACAACAGCTGGCAAAAAAAGATAAAAAAAGTGTTTGCACACTCGCCACCGTGGCTGCAAGCAGCACCGATTAACACTCTCCCAGGTCATTGTGTTGCAAATACCCAATAAAGTGGACAGGAAGATGACTGTCACCATAGCTGATTTGGTGGAACATTGGGTGCCTTCTTTGAAAGTCGCCGGCTCGCTTCGTTTCCATCGGCAAGTTTTCGTATCGACCTCTACACTTTATTCAAATTTATATATTTATCACTAGAGTACATTTAAGAGAACTGAAGTAACGTCCCCTACACCTTCATTCTCTTTATTGTGGGTTGCCTGTCAATAAAAGGTTGTGTAAAACAAAGAAATTAGCCCTTAAACTTTCTTCTTTCATCCTTATGCAAGAATATATTTTACGCGCTCACATCTCCTCTTGCCCATTTTTTCATACCCTAATTAATAGCTGTATTCCTCCTTTTCTTTCTCCCTCCTCATCTGACTTGTGCTTTTTGCAGACACCCAGCGATGCTTTTTCCCTGGCGACGACGTGGTCGTCCTCTTCTTTCCAGCCTAATCCCGGCCTGGACTCCCAAATCGCTGGCAGGGAAGCCACGTCTCAGAGGACAGCGACACATAGCGAACGGAGTACCTCGAGCCCTGAAAGTCAAGTCCACAAAGGGCCTAACTACACCACGGTTTTCGAGAGTGCAAGAATGAATGGCCACGTGCAATAAGGTGTTTACGACGCTTGAATGTGGGGCGTTAATGGGAATATATTGTTACAGTAATTACTTCAACAGCATTAACACAAGGTTTTGGTGTCGTTACAAACTTAAATCCAGTCTTGGGTGACGAGATTATATCAGTGTTACTTGGTAATAAACAACTGTTCTGGTGCTTCAAAGGAAAACTATTATGATTATATCTTAAGACTAAGATAGAGCTGCGTTATGTCGTTGACCTTTCTTCTCATGTTTCCTTCGGGGGCAAAAACTAGAAATTCCGGCAATATAAATGATACAGCGTTTCGAAACGCTTTATTCTACTATGCTCGAATGTTGAATAACTTTTTGAAAATATGGTTAACGTTATACAGCTACTTTAGAGCGTTATATTGTTATAGAGCGCTGGTACTCGAATGGGCTTTTTAGATCCCCGTATACCTCCGGCAAATTGCTTAGTCGTAAAATAAATTAATCCTGAACATTCTTTTTAAAACAAAGCCGCAAAATTAAAGATTTCTTAATACAGTCATGTCCCGCAAGTTGCCGGTTGCCTGGCACGTCACTTAGCGTTACCCAAAGCGGACACTCAAATATAAATTTGTAAGGTGTTCATGGGATGGTTAGATGCCGTCCTTCAGACCTCATAGATGAGTGCATAGGTGAAATTAAAGAATTAGTATTGCTCATATATGTCAGCGTTGTTCTTAAGGTTTTCGCGATTATACGACAGCTACTTTTCTGTGCTCCGTCAATGCAACAAAAAAAAAATCTTACTAGTTCGTCTATGCATTCAAATAAGATGACTCGAAGGTCAAGTCTTTCTTTTTCCTCTAAGTCAATGTAATATACCTTCATCGGCTTCCCTCTGAAAGCTTTTTTACACCCGACCTGGTTTTTCAAGGCTTTCATGATCGGCCAACATTTTGCCTAGCGATTATGTTTTGCATTGACGTCACAGATATTGGCAATTTGCGATGTCACAAATGCGTCATACGGTGACGTCATTATATAATGTTTCTTTTAATAATTCACGTTCGCGCCAATGCTGCTGACGCGGATACTGAATTCGCGTGTTTTAAGAACCATCTGAGGCTTTTGTCTGAAAAGCACAGTTGTCTATTGCACTGTTTGTTTTTTCACATTCGGTGCAGGTAATTAATTTATTATTGATATTGAAAATGGGGTCATATTTTGTAACGGGAACTCTTTACTGGCCATTTTTGAGCACTTTGGCCGCAAGTGGAATTGACATTTCCCGCAGATAAATTCCGAACGCTATGAAAACTTGGCGTGTTTGAACTTCATCGTTCGGTGCTTGTTTTAGGAGGGCAATTTTTTGTGGCATTTTACGATAGATTGCGAATACTCATTACATCACCACACACACAAAAAAAAAGAAATCAAGAAAGCGTGTTGTTACCTCCATATCCAACTCTTTTCTGCTTTTTTTTTCGCTTTCAGTTGTGTATACTGCACTGATAATAACATTTAGCGCGTTTATTTTGCAGTAAAGTAGATTTTCAAGAGACGCAGCTCTGCGATTTTATATCCTGAGGACATACATACAGATTATTTCGGAATGTTTTCTAAGTATATTTCGTGAAATAAACTACTGCGGTTACTACAACCCATTCAGCTGTGGCAGTTACTTTTGTGCTTTGCAATATCATACTCTTAGCCAAAGGAGAGCAACACAAATGGCTCATGAGCTTAAGCGGGCGTAGGGCGGCCCTGCAGAGGGATGGTTCGTCTCAGCCCGCCAGTCCCATCCTATTATGTCAATGTAATGGTCAGCCATGTGTCCCCCCCCCCCCCTGTTTGCGTAATGCCTGTAACCCCCCCCCCCTCTTCCACGCGCATGCCTATTTGTGCTCATGAAATATAGAACCACCTGCGTTGTTGATATGACTTGGCTTAACCTCAGTGTATTGTGTATTACGGCAGCCGACCACTTCGGCAAAGGTACCACGATGTTCGACGCATCGTTCGACGTGCCGCGTTCCAGAACGAACGTCAAAAGCGTTGCTCTTCTTTTCTCAAAATAAATGCAACCAAACAATAATTACCAACACAGATGGAGAAAGTGGTTTCATTCGTTCAGGTCAGAATTGAACACGACGAGCTGGGCAATAACGAATTATTTAACTATAAGCTAATTACGAATAATCGCAGAATCTCTCTCAAAACGACACACAACTTCATTTTCCTGGACTGTAATACTCAGTTCCTTGGAATTTTCGTACACCAATTAAACACATTTTTGGCAATAAGAGTGTTGCACACTTGCTGAGTTCACTATGAGTGGCTCTGGCTAACACTTCTCTGGAATGAGCTCACAAAAGTACCTAAGCGGGCCATGTAGCGTCCCCCTTCGTCGCTCAGATAGTAGCGCATCGCACGTAGAGGCGATTTTAGACCCCACTGATGACAAGGGCGTTTGGTCGTTCACTTCAGTCTCCATTATTATGCAGCCTTATCCTTAGAGTTGAGGAAAAACAACGATGTAATTTCTGCCCTGCTTTCTTTGTCTACAGGTTTCATTAGCTCTGCCGAATGCAGGAACGGACTCCTCGAACAACTGCACTTTTTTCTTACTGTCCACTTACACGTGACAGAAACATGTCATCAAGTCATCGCCTATCACATTCCTCGTACACACTATGAGGAACAACGCTATTATTGTGACCTTCCAACTTACACCGAATTCAGCTATCAGTGACTGAAGCGAAAGATTCGTGACGTTATTTCGAAGACACAGCTGTCAGGAATAAACAGTGACTGAAGACAAAGTGAGAAATAGAGAAAATAAAATGAGAGATGGGCACGAAGGTCAAGAAATCTGTGGCATCCAGTTTGCTGTCCTGCGTTATTTAGAGGGGAATAGGGAAATAAAGATGGAAAGAAACGCGGAGAAAAATGTTGACATGCTAGCTTAGCTACAATCAAGCTACCCTGCGCATAATTATCTTATTGCGTTTCTGAACGTTTAACTCGACGACAGACAATTGCAGCAAATGTTAAAATTTCTTCCTTGATTAGAGGGTCCTCATATCACCCACTGTTTAGAAAAGCTGTGCTCTCAGTGTGTCATTTTAAAAGCTTCTTATATCCACTCCAACTTCAAAGACCTGAGACTTGTTTCTTTATTGCTTTCGGTAACGTTCTTATTGAAGCTGCTTCCTCCTTGACGATAATGTCTTCATAGCAAACATGTACATTACCAGCACTGCTTAATATATGGGGTTAACGTCTCAAAACCAGCATATGATTATGAGAGACGCCGTAGGACAGGGCCCCGGAAATTTCGACCACCTGGTGTTCTTTAGCGCGTTCCCAAATCTGAGCAAAAGGGCCTACAACATTTTCGCCTCCTTCAAAAACGCAGCCGCTGCAGCTAGGATTCAATCCCGCGACCTGCGAATCAGCAGCCGAGTACCTTAGCCACTATACACCACCACAGCGGGGCTACATTTCCAGCATTAAACGATGAACATATCAGGCTTCGCCACTTTTCGGCTACACGCTGTCATCTCCACTTGCGCTTTCTCATCTTGCGTGTTTTAAGACATCATTTCAGTGACAGAAACACATCACTGAAGTCTTCGTGGACTCCGGCATCAGGCACTTTTGTGTTAGAAGCTTACGTTCCTGGTATCGAGTCTAATCGAAAGCTTATTTCCTCATGAACTCGCGTGAACGGACAGCAGGGTGCCGTGAATCGAGCCGTGAAGACGAGAAATATCAGGAGGGGGTAACACGTTCGTTGCATGTGGTATGTGAGACTGTTAGGGGCCAGCCCATTTAAATTTTCACTCGTGATCTGTGTTCACCGTTCGAAACTCAGCACACGGCCATGTCAGCCTTCAACACTCACTGCCATGTGCACATGGAAGGACAGGGTATAGTGGGAACCAACCATTGCACACGTTGGCATTATAGTCATTGCCATGACACTATCGTGGCGCAGTCATGCGGACAGACGCTACGAGCCGAAAGCTCAGTGCATGATGCCATCGTCACTTGAAGGAGGTCCAATTATCGGCAATCTGAGCTTCGTGTTGTTCGCATTATCCTTGAGAGACCCGTCTTTTTCTGACTTCCTGCAAGGTAAAAGAAAAACAATACACTACAGGTAAACCACAGTCGCCTTTGTGCCTTTATTGTATTGAGAGGTAATCTTTGGAGCACTTCTTTTTGTCATGCCGAAAATTCAAAACTCAAAGGGAAAATCTGCTAGAAGAACCCCTACGAAAGTTGGGTTTAAACTTGACACTTCCGGTGATTCTTTCATTTGGCGCAGTCGCATTTGGATTTAGCCACAGGAGCGTTTTTACCACTGTTACAAATTTCTTACGAGAATCTAAAAGAATGGAATGCTAATAATAAGTAACTTCAGTTGTTTTATGTATAATTTCTTGTATGTTTATATGTTTTCTTTTTAAGGTTTTTTTAGAAATTTAACACCTTTTTATTATTACCTATATTACCTAAGTAATCCAACCCTCTCTTTCAAAAAGTGAAATAATTTGAAAAGCAAGGCACCGTCCCATTCATGGCCTATCCCCCTAGGTGGTTTGCGCCAAGGTGTTGAGGAAACAACCAACAACAACCTTTGTGCGTGTAGAAAAAGTGGTTAGCAATATGGAGTACTCGGTACTCTACTATGGGAGGGCTGAAAGCCGTCCTTTGGCCCTCACTCTTGACGAGGCCGCATCGACGGAAATTGCGCATGTGCCCGGCCCGGGCAATGCGATTCCACGCCTGCGCCGCATTTGGCCTTCGAGCACACTCTGCGGACAGTGTTTTTGTGTGTTTATAAAGTGGGTAACAATTTAGAGCGCTAGGTACTCTACTATGAGAGAGCGTAAAGTGGTCCCATGCGCCTCACACTTGATGAGGCCCTGTAACTAAAGAAAGCTGTGTTTATAAAAAAGTTGGTAACGATTTAGAGTATATACCTGGTACTCTCCTATGGGAGAGCAAAAAGCCGTTCCGTGGGCACCACGTTCTATGAGACCGAGAAATGTTGTTGTTGTTTTTTTTTAAACTGTTTAGAAGAAGTTCTCAACAATTGAGAGTACGAGGTACTCCACTATGGGAGAGCTTAAAGCCGTCCCATGAGCCTCACGCTTCACCCGTACAACTCAGTAAGTTTCGACTGCTGCGTATGGAGGCCTGTTTAGAAAAAGTTCTTAACGATTTAGAATACTCGGTACTCAACTATGGGAGAGCTTAAAGCCGTCCCGTGCGCTTCCCTTGATTTGAAACGGTTGACTTAGCGCTGTGGGTTTGTTTAGAAAGAGTGGTTAACAATTTTAAGTACTTAGTACTCGACTATGGGAGAGCCTAAAGCCGTCCCGTGGTACCCATTGCTGTTGCTGTGGGTTTGCAACAGATTCCGGTAGCCGCGTTGTTTTGCCGAACATATCAGCGCCAATGCCGGAAATTCTCTATCTATGCGACCTCGAAAGTGAGCCGCTCATGTAAGTACTTCAATGCACTGCTTTTCAATTACTAATGATCTCTTAGTCTTGCGTTTGATGGCAAGAAGCTGTTACTGACATGAAAATGCGATCTTTTATCGAGAAGGCTTTGTGATTTCCCGCTGCCATATTGCTTAGTCGCCTAGTTTTTAACGAATAATTTCACACTCTTCACATTCACATTCTTTACAGTTCCCATTTTGCTAAATGCGTAGGTGCGCCCTCGCACCACGCCCGCCGTCAGTCGGATCCGTCTCGCTTCTACCGCCACAAGAAGGAGCTCACGAAAGAAACAAAAAGGAAAGAAAGAAAAAAGGAAAGGAGCAAAGAGACAAATTCAGTACATCTGGCAAGACAACCTTTCCTTCATCTTATTTTCGCGGTAGGGGAAAAGCACCTTCCGATTCTTTCTGGCTTTTCAATTCTTTTGGTCTGTGCAAGCTCAAGGTCGGGAATATTTTTGGTGAGCACGTGACGATCTTTTTTTGTGCGTGTGGTAGTCGGAGTTTTAGAATTCCTCCATCACCAGCTGCAAGCGTCCGTGAATACAAGGCACAGTTTGAACAAATGTTCCCAACGCCCTACCAGCTAAACTGAAGCCAGCGCTTGTCCACCATTACCCAAAGAAACAGGCTCTTTGGAATGGTGCTACTTAGACACCCTTGGTCGCAACCTGCCGGGCTGCCAAATAGGCTATGGAACCAGACTAAACGCACTACACAAGTCACGCTGGCTTAGTTGAAAAATTATATATACAGTCACCAAAAATACCTCGAAAGCGAAAGACTTCTGCTTTTTCTTCTAAATTGGCTGCCCTCAGGTGACGTGCTGGTAGTTTTTGCTCGTGTCACGCGACTTCTAAACATGCTGACGAAAGCCACTCACCTCGAATTACCCAGCTGCTTTGACTCCCGTATCGTGTCCGGTAGCGTCACTCTGAGCGTCTCAGGTAGAAGGAGCATGAGTGCGGAACTGAGCGCTGAAACGGCGGCCAGAGTTCCCATGGGCACAGAGTCAGAAAGATAATTTCTCTGCAACAAAAGGAAGAAGGGTGGCAGACAGCTCAGTCGTTGGAAGCAGGGGTATAGCTTGAATTAACATGTACTTAGCATATAGTGCAGAGAACAAAACAAACCACAAGTTCGGCTGAACGTTACCAATCGTAGCACGTGAAGACAAAAGCCTGATGAGCTCTTGCTAAGGCGTTAAGAAATGCAATCAAAGATAATACCTGCAGGTAACAAGCCGAAGCCACAATTCACAAGCGCAAAGCCACAGACAGAGTAATGATACACGCACACAGGACGGGTGCTACTCACGTGACCCTGCCTTCTAAGATTGTTGTCTTGGAATTTTTGAGAAGCACAAACTGAGTCATAGCCGAATTAGCGAAAATTTATGCTGCGAATGGTGAGTGACGCACATTACACTGGCTCAATATCCTTAGTCTGATTTTAAGCGAAGTGCGAGAAGTTTTGTAAATGAAAAAAAAATAAAATAAAATTGACGGTACTGCTTCGAGTTAGGAGCCATATTGCGAACTTGTAATATTAGATCATAGGTGTGCTTAATTAAAATGAGAGGCTGGGACCTGTAAGAACAATGAATAAAACTTAAATCGATGATCTAATTGAAAGTGGAGATGGTTTTCTAATGAGAAGCTCGGATATACTTGCTGCACCTGGAGTAGCAGATCTGAACTCCGCGCTTCTGTCTACGTTACCGCTGAGGTAAGCTTCGGCAGTGTGATGAAACGCTGAGTTGAACCAAGGATTACACCAGGGCACACACGCCAGGTGATCAAAAGAACTCCAGGTGGTCAAAACTTCCGGAGTCCTGCACTATGGTGTCTCTTAAAGTCTTATGGCAGTTTCTGGACATTACACCTCAACAATTACTGATAATTTTATTCTTTCTGTGGCAGAAACCCACCACGAGGCCTACGTTCCAACTCGTGCTATGTGGAGGCTTGCGTTACTCTCCCCAAAAAAAGCAGTCCGCTAACGGCTTCAGAACTGTATGTCTCAGTTAGCTGATCATGACGAAAGATATCAGCTTGCTTAAAAGGGGCATTTCTTTTCAGGGTACCATAATGAGAACAAAGCCTGTTGGCACTTGTCTAGTGATTGTAGTTTTCGGCTTCTGGCTCGAAGATTAGCAATACCGACTGCAGTGGTGGCATTTCGGTGGACGTGCAGTGCTGGACAAGTCCGTGTGCTTAGACTAAGGAGCCATGTTAAAAGGACCCTCCAACACTACTGAATTCCTTTTTTTTCACTGGCTTTTTGTGTGCATTGAGGTATACGGACAGAACGGCTGTGACAATGGCACGCACTCTGAAATTATTCTTTTTAAAAAATTCAAAATACCAGAAAAAGAGATGTCTACCCTCCACTTGATTTTGGCGTGGTCACTAACCACATCTGCACACGCCCTGTGACATTAGAGTGCTGTCTCAGTGAATTGAAATGGAAGACTCTACATAAGGCAAGCTCGCACACCATGCATTTATGCTTTTCCTTTCAAAAGTATCCTCGACGTTCCTGCGATATCTTCTAACGTGGTGCCAGACTTCTTAGCACTTGGTTGGCGCTACTGCTTTGAAGGTAGCTACTGTCTCTTTTTTCTCTTCTTCAATACAACGAAATTCTATGTTCCTCCCTCCTCGCATTCTGAGAAGGACATTTATAGAACGACCAGGGCATTGAAGTACATTGGCGGGTTGTTCAGTGAGCCACACGAGGAAATACTATGGTGGAGCGACATCATTTAAACAAAGAGTATTACTTGCACTCCTTCAACAACAATCAGGAGCCTACCGTACATGCGGCAAGAGACAGCTCGCAAATGCACAGAAGCAGAAAGAGGGGGGAAAATAAACCTTTTCTATGGATATCGGACCCGCGCAAGCGAAGTCAAGAGAAACACTAGCCGCCGCTTTAGTCCCTTTGTAGTCATTGAGACGACGTCAATTTGAGGTTCGATAAGGCAGCAGTAAAAAAATCACACTTGAAAAAAAAACGCAGTTTTCCTGAAACGCCAAGATCACATCTAACGTTACACTTATCATAGATATGCACCCTCGGGTGTAATTTTCTCCCGCAATAGTTCTGTCGAGTGTCACTAAGCGCTGATGCGGTCGGCAGCGATGTACTGATGTTATTCCGTTATTAAAGCGCGAATGTTTCTATACCTCTGCTACATAAACTACAATTAACCCAGTCATGAGCCTAGGCCAAAAATAAGAAATAGCTACTGTTAAAGTGCTGAAGGGCCTCTTTAAAACCGCAGGTAGTGAAAATTTTCAAACCCTCTGCTACGATGTCTCTCATAATCATCACATCGTGGTACTGGGACGTAAAAACTCATCAATTATTACTATAGTCTTAATTACCGTCGATTTCGTTAACCCTGAATTCTGCAGCGCTCACAATCACCTTTTAGCTCGTACTATATTTTAGTGATCGTTGGGCGTCTTGTATCGACTCATTAAACCTTTGTACTACCGAGTCTTACACCGAGGCCTCGTTTCATGAAGCACCTAAAGCTTTCGCCTAAACAATTGCCCCTGTTTCTCCACTCACCAGTTCCAACAGAAACGGCGCAGTCGAAGAGCCGACGCGCGTGCCGATGAGGCAGGCGCTGACACCGACCGTCCGGTACAGAGTCGGAAACACTTCGGCTGCGTAGATCCAAATGAGGGTGAGTGAAGCGGAGGCCAGCATCTTCCCAACGATGGCGAACATCTGTCTTGGCACCACCCATACTGCGTGGACAAACATTTTTTCAGAGAAGTTTGAGAGCGTTGGGGGCCGTTGAAATACGTCAGGGTCTTTACCAAACACATATCACAAATATAGCATCGCTGTTTCCAGCTGCCGGCGTTGTTTTAGTGCTACGTTAGCCAATATGTTGAAAAAGTCAATCAACACCCCGGAGTCAGATACGAATGCCTCATCCCCGTATTTTATAACGTTCCTTCACTAAACGCTTCACCTTGACCTCAGAAAGTCGATGCGAGTGCCTTCTCTACAGGCACAACAAGTCAATGCATATCAGCGATAATCTGCCGCGATTCTTCAGAAACGCCGTGTCAATTTCAGTCGAGCAGTGGCGCAGTGCTCAACTCTGTGAAGGATGAACTTCGAGTCGAGGAGCGTTTGTGAATACGTTGGTTGGCCGGTCATACCACGGAGTGCTTCCAAGGCAGGTACACTGAAATAAGTTAGAGCAACGGTACGCGGGGATCAGTCCTGTGACGTCATCAGATATCCGTAGAAAGTAGTACGAAACGAAGACAGAAAAATGTATCTCTTATCACTCATTTTCCTAAGAACCGGCGCTTCTCTCGAATCGCGGAATGATCGAGCCGAACAGTGAAAGTACAGATCAGTGGCGGAAGAAGGCGCCCCTTTCACCTGCGCCCAAAAGGCATGACGCTAAGACGTTGCCACGCAGACCATCCGTTATAGAATAAGGATGAGGGATTGCGATAACAATGAGACACAAATCATATCATGTCCTAAAGTTTCCTTGTACCTCCGATTGTCACAGCCGTCACCTGGGTGACAGAATTGACGCGCACTTGCTACTTTTTTTCTTGTCAGTTGTACTACCTTGCAAGCGTGCGTAGCGGAAGAGCGTACTTGTACAGGGTACGGCGATTGAAACGTGATTCTCAGAGGTAATGGGTGATGGTCGTAAGGATGACGCGAGGGCGATCACGTTTTCGACGCCTGGTTGCTGCATCCGCTACACAGTGCTTAAGTCTGCGGTTAACCGTGGCCCCGGCAAAGCTCTGCAACCCTTTTCAAGGCGCGCCAGAGTGCTCCAGCGTCACTTTTAACAAGTGCGCACGCTGTTTCAAAGCGAGCAGCGCTCCGCTAGGACCACCAAGTATCACTGACTGAACGGCTGCCTGTCGGATGCAGCAGTCTCCCGGCTTTAATGTTACCCTGCAAGCTACGCACTCCGTCGGGATACAGACAGTTACCCTTAATGACCAGCCGTTATCTTGCCTTCGTGTTACGTGCCATGCCCATGTCTGTTAATTCTTCTTGATTTCTACTAAGTTGTCTTTAACACCCACTCCGACTATTGCATTTGATTCGCCGAGCACTGTACTATAGTGAGCAATATGAGCTCGAACACAGGAGCGCGTGGCAAATACAGCCTCAAAATAGAGAAAACATGATACAAGAATGGCGCTGCCGAAACCGCAAAGGAAAAAAGGGGTGTTGTTTCAATGACTGTAGGCACGCTCGCGTGATCGTTGCGGTGAAACGGCAGCTGATTGTGTGCCCTCGGCCATAAGCAGTATTAGGGAGTTTTAGAATGCCGTTTGCAAGCGCTGCGGACGTTGCGGGCGCCGTATGAGTTTTAGAATAGCGTTTGCCCTGCTGCGATCCGCAACGCACGATCGCAGCGACACCATAGCCTCGAAACCAGCGCTTGCGTGCCACATGCGGGCCGCCATCACCGCACGCAATTTCGGATTTTTTGCGGGCGGTCCACGAACACGAACGCCGACTCGCGTTACGACGCATGCGCCCTGACAGCGACCGCACCTCAAGGGCTCGCGGTGCGCTATTCTAAAGCTTCCTATTAAAACGAAAAGGAAATGCACCAAAGCAATAAAATAGGCGGAGGTTACATATCAATATGCCCAGTGAACACCACCCAGATGTGATAAAAGCATGGCCCGTGCATCAAGACAGGCTACGTCACAGCTGATATCTTTGTAGGGCCATGACCTACCTGTGTCATCGGTTGTGGCTGTGCGCGCTCGAGATAGATCGTATCACCGCTAGCAGCCACTGCCACCCGACAAGCTGCGTCTTGCAGGAACAATATCGAGGCTGGAGTATCAACAGCTTGTAGAAGCTCGCCACCCTTTCCCATTTGTTTCCTACAGCGGCCGCTGTGAATCAACTCATGTAGGGCTCGAAGCTATACGACAGGCGCTCGCGTGTTCGAGCTTATATTGATCGCGATAGCACACCAGAAGATGTGCGACGTTTGATGGCGCGAGGGTCAGTTAATGTCTAAAAAAGCACCAGGTCACCGTGCACCTCACAGTGTGGTCCAGACAACGCCACCTATTAGGGACTGTGCTCCGTCGCATACCTGGAGGCAGGACTGCCACGGCAAACGCGCATACGCCAGTGACGCCGTACACGGCGAGTATGGTCCAACGTCGCCGACACCACCTGATGGCCGCGTAACAGATGACAGCCACGGGGAGTTCTGCGACTGCAGCGATCACGAAGGTGAGGTAAGGGTCACCTCCCAGGTTGGTCACCGAGAGCTGCAGGCCGTAGAAGATCATACCACTCGCCGCACTGTGGGTCGATAGGAATTTTCGCTGTTTTACACGATTTGGTGCTTTGTTTTTTTTTTCTGGTTGAGTCTACGTATTTTAGGCCATGATGTTCTAATAGAATGCCTGCTACGGTGTTTGGTGTTTTCTAAAGTCACGTGTGTTTTATGTGGGGAATGTTGTCATATTGTTCCACACACACACACACACGCACGCACGCACATACGCACACACACACACACACACACGCACGCACACGCACACACGCACGCACACACACACACTCACACACACTCACACACACACACACGCACACACACACACACACACACAAAGAGAATTTAGCCCTGCCGCGGTGGTCTTGTGGCTGAGGTACTCGGCTATTGACTTGTAGGTCGCGGGATTAAATCCCGACAGCGGCGACTGTATTTTCGATGGACGCGGAAATGATGTAGGCCCATGTGATCAGATTTTGGTGCCCATTAAAGAACCCCAGGTGGTCGAAATTTCCGGAGTTCTCCACTACGGTGTCCATATAATCTTATGGTAGGTTTGGAACGTAAATGCCACATTTCAATAAAAAAAGAACTTACGACCAGATTACCAACTAAACTCAGTAAAATATTAAGAAATCGGCCTCTGTGAAACATACTAAATGCCCTTTTCCGCTTTGAGGCGTCTTTTTTCAAGCACCGAGTCCTAACTCAGCGGCAGTCCACCTTACTCGATGGCCAAGTCGATAGTGGCGGTTAGATCGTGGCCGTGGCGTACATACGACGCAGTCGAATTGTTGAAGAGCTCTGTAATGTGTGACGTGAACTCACGTTAAAGAACACCCAGTGGTCTAAATCTTCGAAGGCCGCCACGACATCCGTTCTCGCTATGATGCCGTGTTTTTGCTAGTAAATAGTACTCTTAATACTTTTTTTTGGTCGAACAGTTATTGTTATGCCATGTGCGTTTGAATTCTTTAAGACCGCGCCTCCAGTACTTAAAGATCACTAACGGCACGTGCGAAATCATCCTGACATGGCAGTGTTGATGGGAAAGGGGTGAAAGTCGCGTTTCTTGCGACAAAAAACGCAAGCTAGTCACATATCGTTGCGGTGAAGTACACGTTTCTCCTGTGGGTGTTAACAAATTTTGACAGGCTGCTGTGGCCGCATTTTCGGTCGAGGCCAAAATGCTTCAGGCCCATGTGCTTAGATTTAAGTGCACATCAAAGAAACCCAGAGGATCGCAATTTTCTGCAGTTCTTCACTACGGCATATTTCCTAACCATATGGTGTTTTGGTACGTTAAATTATCACGATTAAAAATTAAACTACATGTATTTTGAGAATAATTACAGAGGTTTGCCTGTGCACTAAATAATAATCTAAGGTTATTATTATTAATATATTATTATTATTATTATTATTATTATTATTATTATTATTATTATTATTATTATTATTATTATTATTATTATTATTATTATTATTATTATTATTATTATTATTATTATTACAAAATGTATATATTCCAAAAACTTTCAATGCAGTACCTGACGAATTTTTTTTCAGCGAGTTCAAAAAGGCAATTAAAGAAATTACTCGCTGAGCTGTAACATCACAAAGTCTACTTGTATACCACGTATGCTCTGTGTCCCTCCTTTGTTCCTCTTTTTTATTTACTGCCTGTAAAAAAGTAATGGTGTCAATCGTTTGTCTGTTCGTTAGTAAGGAAACAACAATAATTTTGTTACCTTGTATCCACATCGCTGTAACCGGCTCTGCCGGGCCTAGTCGCACAAGTCCTGGGGACTTAGACAGGCCCGTTTTTTTTTTTGTATTTCTTATGGATGTGTAGAATGAAGTATTATTATTATTAATATTATTATTATTATTATTATTATTATTATTATTATTATTATTATTATTATTATTATTATTATTATTATTATTATTATTATTATTATTATTATTATTAAAAAGAAGAAAAGGTGGTATTTTAAGTACAAGATACCGTTATGAGAATGCCGTAGGGGAAGGTTTCGGAAATTTCCGCCATATCGTGTTCTTTAACATGCCCTGACGCTGCACAGTAGACAGGACGCCAGCCTTTCGCCTTCACCGAAACGCGACCATCGTGGCCCGAGAAATCGACACCGCAACCTTTAAGTCAGCAGCCGAGTACCACACGCGGTGTACCACTGGCGTGAAAAACTTACGAAAGATTGCAAATAGCTTGGGATTCATATTTCAGCTACCGCACGCTAACAACCGCCAAGCTTATTGCAGTCCTCAAAAAGCAAGTCATTGATATAACGCTAACCTATTGTATATCTCCCGTAGGTTTCTGAGTAGCACATATGAACGAAAGGACAAAATAAAAAAAAACAGATACACTCAGTCCGGTAACTTATGTTCAAATGTACTTCCAATTTGTCCCGTCGCGCATGTGCACTACAAAGGAACCTACTGAAGATGTGCTACCAAGAAACCCTTGTGAACCTATTTTACAGGCAGTTTTCACTTACGATGCGTATACCAGGATGCAGGTGTAAAGAAATACTCTTCGACTTCTGATGAGGTCCAAGCAACTGGCCTTCTTTTCGGCCGCTTGCTCTTGCTGAAAAGTTAAACAACGATGTAGCACCGAAGAACCACTTCGTCAGTGTTAACAACATTGCTAACTGAACACCTCATTCCGTACTTGAAAGCGTGTCAATAGACAAATCAAGCCGAATCATCGATAAGACGAATTGCATTGTCAGGGCAGCGAATCTTTTTCAAAGCACGTCCTTTTTCCGAAACGTTGACTTTGGCGCATGCTCTCGTTCGGCGACTTCCTACTTCTGGAAGTCTCCAACGTCAGCTGAACCGTGTCTTATTAGGATATTGTGTGACTGGCGTCGGCGTCTGATTTGAAAACTGCTTGTCAATGTGCTATATAGTATTGTAGATGAAGTTGAAGATATTTTTTTCCGTACCACGATTCTCTGGTTGTTCTGAACAGATAACGTCCTTCCGTACTAAACTAATTTGCTTCGGTAAAGGCGAAAGATTGTTGCGACTGACTGAGGAAGAACCTGAGCGATAATTTGCTTCGGTAGTCTCCCGCCAATAAACTACGTGAGACGTGTGCGAGGTATGTGCACGTTCTGTGCTGTATCCACGGCAACGTGCTTCGAAAAAAAATTGTTCGAGACTATTTTTTTATGTTAAGAAAAATGTATTGACGAATATCGTACAACGTAAACACAACGAAAATAACATTATATTTTCAACATAAACATGGCTGATGCTGATGACCTCAGATGAAGGGCGCTCACCCACAGAGAGGGATGAGCCAAGAACCGGGGCGGCAGGATAGTTAAATGAAACTAAAATGAAATAAAGCCAATTTTAAAAAATAATTCAGAGAAAAAGCTGCCAATAAACAAAAATGGTTGCTGAGCAAGCGGTCAAACCATCCCATCCCTTGTTCCTGACAGGCATAGCTACGAATGATGAACTAAAGATCTGAAACATGGCATCATCGCCCGAAGGTGATGGCATCATCATCCTTGTCTTTCTCCAATACACCGGCCCCTGCCATGTGGATCACTTCCTCTGCATCCGGCAGGCTTTAACAACACGTTACTATATACATACACGCAACATGACTGTAACGGCGAAAACCTGCTGAGAATCAGCGAACAATTGTAATCGCATTAAAAGGTACTGTTAGTAGTATGACCTGCAAGATTTTCTTTCTCAGTTGGCCAAGTACTGTGTCGATATCGTCAATTGGCTGTTTGTTGTCAGCGCAGGCCTTGAGAATTACTTTTCGAGCTTCGTCCATTTTCCCGGTTGCTATCAGCCAGCGAGGGGACTCGGGCAGGTACCTGAAATGAACAGTTAGAAAGAATATGGTTAGTGTTTTACAGTGAATCTGTACATGGATTGACGGTGACGAAATGGGGTGATCCGTGAATTCGTAAGTGTTAAGAAGCTCTACCGCTGTCACCGAAAAAATATGCATATCTTACGGGATAATCTCTGTTTCTGCTTTAATTCTCGTGAGGAAGCGAGAGAGGAGAGCGAGAGTGAAGTACTCATTCTTGAGCTATGCGAAATGAATGTGCCCGTTTAACTCGCTTAAAACAATTAATACCTGAGTTTATCTAAGCGTACCCCCCGCAAGCTACAACCAAAGGTCATTTTTTTTTTTACTTGTACGAGCTTCGAGTGCTAGCCTTGTTAGTTTTCCGAGCATATACGGCACTCGGTTCCTGTTTAAAGTATGTAATAGAACCAATTCTAAAGAATTTAATTCTTGATTCGCGTTGAGTATACAGTTAAGTTCCATAAATAGCATGTTATAGCTAAGCCTTTTTAAAGGTCAAATAACAGATTCGGGAATTATTAAAAGAGCTGAATTCATTGAAAGATTGCACGTTGTGTAGCTGATTTGAACCACATGCTTTTTTTCTGCCTGACCTCCGAGACTCACTTCAGTAGCGAGAAAAAAACAGAATTAACGCAACAGTAATGAAAACCAGCTGACGATTAAGCCAGAGAATTTACATAAGGCGTTATTTTCAGATGCCCACTGCAGTGGCTCCGTTGGCAGTAAGCTCCGGATGCTGCAAGCTCGGCCCTTGATGTCGGAGAGTTTATCTTTTCGTCCATTTTAATTATGTCCCGTTAATATCCCGAGAACTTCGACGCCGTTAAAAGACCGATAAAAACTGCGCATATCACTCTAAATCACGCAAACCTTTACACAGTGAAACTAGCCGATTCTAGTGTTATCTAGTTCCTTCTACGTTGTTGCGAGCATTTAGCTATAGCTATAGCTATAGGTGATGCAAGGTTCTTTATAGGCTTCTTCTAAGTTGCTGTTAGGCTTTCTATCAGCCTCGAGAACATGCCGTGGCACCATCTACGTGATGACGTCACTCATAGTATGCTGGGTTGTCTGCTACGACACCGCGATTCTTGCGCTTTTGCTGTAGACACCGTGCGTGCTTCCCTTTGTTTTGAAGCTACATGCTAAAAAAAGCAGTAGGATCTGATAATACAGGCAAGCAAACTACAAATTGGTGCCCTCAGTGGCACTCTCGTGTCTAATTTGCATCCTAAAACTGTGACTAAGAACCAGTGCAGCCATGGGGGACAATGCAAGTGGTGTCGCGAAAGCAAAGCTGCCGTTTCCCACAACTACTATGCAGCAAGGCGAGCGCACGCATCCTATCTGTGACGTCAAAACGATCGCAGCGCTGGCCTCTGGCCCTCGCGGCCAATAAGTAGGTGGCGCCAAATTGTTTCCAGGTTGATTCTTAGTGCAGTGCGGTTCAAGTTTAACCACACACTATCGCACACTCGACGTGCATGTCCCAATGTCAAATACAAAAATTCGGGGTGAAGCCAAACGTTCGCGCCTCTCGTACATCTACCAAGAAGGTTAAAATTATTTAAAACCTCCTTGACATCTATAGGCAACGCCTCCTAAAAAAATTATGCCTAAAACGTGAGCCGCCAACTTGCCGCCCTACCCTCGGATTTTACCCTCCCCCTCCGGTACGGAGGCGAACGCCTGTGGCGGTCGCCCCCTGCGAACACAGCAATGCTCTCACAGTTGCCTCCGAGCAGCTGTGATGTCACGTGACAGCGGTATGGAGGCGAGCGGTCCCACGCGGCGGACGGTCGCAACACGTGGTAGGAAGCATGGCCTTCAAGATTTTGAGCTGGCAGCAAGCTCTCGATTGAGGAGAGAGCCACGTTCCAGGCATAGTTTTCTAAGAGGCGTTGCTACAGACATGTTTTCATTGGCGCAGGCATTCCATCGCTTCGTTATCTTCTCGCCACCACCATTGCCTTTTTTTCTTTCTCCACTATTCTCTCCTTGTGCGCACTCTGGGCTCACCGCCATCAGTTGTTAGCCATTAGTCGGACCAACTGTCGCCTTCTTCATTTTCATTGAAACGGTAGGGTTGAGTGGTATTTGCTCAATTTCTGTGAAATGTTACCATTCAAGATGTCAATAGGTTTTTTGTGGTTATCCATTCTACATCGAGCTTCACCAGCTTCGCTGTTAATAGCAGCCCGTGTGCCTCCTATGGCATCATTGTCGCTTGCTTTTCAACAAGAAAGCGAATAACAAAGGTTAACTAGCTCTTGAATCTCCTTTGATTCAAAGTGAACATAAAATAAGATTCATACCCCTTTGATAAGAATGGGTAAAACTGCAAATTGACACGCGCCCTTGCAGAAGTAGTTTTTAGCTGATGGATATAAGAGAGTTTGCGCAATGTATATATGTATTTGACAGCTATAGCACCACTTGACGTGGATGCGCCCACGTCGATGCTTAGTAATACATTTCCATCCTGACAAATAACGTCCATCATTTCATATTAAACAAGCCCTTGTGGTAATAAATGCTTGTGGTAGATATAGTAGTTAACGATGAGTGTGGATCCACAGAAAGCGATGTGACAGCCACAAGAGCGCGACTGACTGCAGGCCGAACTTGAGCCAAGGTCGACTACTAGCGGTATGTTGAAGTTATTTAACACCACTGTCGGACCAGAGAGAAACGCGACCTGCGTTGTGCATTTTCCTTCGCCGGCTGCGATCATTCGATGGGGCTAGCGTGAGTGGGAAACGTGGAGGTCAAATCATATAGTTTCCTAAATATACTCTCGAGGGAACTCTGGCGCTAGTGTCTATGGGAGCTGCAACGCACGGCGCTTCAGAGAGCATGGGAATGACGGGTAGTAAACAAATTTGTCTAACCTTCATACTTCTGGCTCCGTGTGTGTTCGTGTGGCTTGGAGCTGTTTTCTCACAAAACGAAAATCAGCAAATTTTCAGCGGTTGCGCTTCACCACCCTAATCTTTTGGGCTTACCATTTCAAATCGGGTCACGAAGTTCAAAAGAGTTAGTTCTTTTCTTCAAAATGAAACCGAAATGCAGCAATAAGCGAAGCTGCGAGTGCGATTCGCCGCCCGCAAGTACAAAGACTAAGGAAATCTGTGTACCACGCTTCATTCTCATGGTAGCTGAACAATTATAGCGCAACAGTCCCCTCTAGCTAATTTAAGATAACTCCTTCGTTAACACCAGGCAAGCCGGTGGGCGTTGCAGAACTGTTTTTATTATAGATGAATCCTATCAGTGACAGCAAAGCTTGGGGTAAGTATGCCACCTGGAATCGTGTTAATGCGTTGAGAAAATTGCATTTTTCCTATTGGAACGGTGTTGAACAGGATAGACGCTTGAAAACGACTCGATGAAGAAACAAATAACCGATGTCATGGCCATGATTCATAACTGCACTTGACCAAGAACGCTGTGAAAGGGAGGGATGTGGCAAATACAAAAGGCGTGTTTTTTAAAGCCTAAAAAGTATGGGACCATGCAGAAGTGTATAGCATGCCCAGCATTTGTTGTTTTGGACCTAGAAAGCTCATGGGTTCGATTCCCACTGACGTAACATTTTGTTGTCTGATTGTGCGTATGCTATCGACGTAATTTCGTAGACGGAAATGCGTCACTGAGCTGTTGCTGGCAGAGTTTCTTACAAACATACCTTGAGGGAAGTGTGGCGCCGCTGCCTATGCGAATTTCTACAGGGCGTCGTTGCAGCACTGGGAATGACGGTATATATGTGTCTGCGAGGCTTGTGGTAGGTGGTAATGGATCGAAAGTCAATGCGAATGCGTAAATAGAGCTCTTCTAAAACAAACCGTTCTTAAACGATTCTCATCCACGCGTATTATATTTAAAATAAAAGTTCCCTTACCTTGACGGCACAACCAAACGGCGAAAAAAAGAACAGATGGCATAAAATGGCAGAGGGAAAGCTCGCTTTGTCGTCGTCTTGCCTAATTCAGTGGCCGTTAGTAACTTTTTACGCTTTGTAAAATTTTACATCGATGCAGAAGTTTCCAGTGTTAAAGAAGACACGTTTCTGTGCAATGCAGAAAAATAAATAGCTTGTTCTGTGCTCCTTTAGTAAGAAATCAGCCACTTTAACGTGACACCTGATGCATGTTCGAGGTACACAAATCCAGGACGAATTCGAATCTCGCGTATCCCAGCATTCCCTTGCATCCAGCAGCTCACTAGCGTCAGACTTCACTCTAGGTGTTATTGTGAGAAGCTGTACGGTTCGTGGACTCCGGCATAAAGCACTTTCTTGTGAATGAAATACACTAGGACACACTAACAACGAGGTACAGATGCAGCTACCAGACACCTAAATGGAATTTTAGGGTAGCATGTATTGCTTGCCACTCTTTTTCGTTTTTACTCACCATGACCAAAGCACGAATACCAGAAGAGGTACGCTGATGGCGCCTTGCAGGCTTCTCCAGTCTTGGAGGACCCAGGCAAAGCCTGGGAGCATGATGATGCCTATGGCAAATCCGACACTGAAGGCCAAAGCCGCGGTTGTCCGCTTCTGGGGACCGATCACCTCCATCACTGAAAAGCACACGAGTGGCAGCCGTTTTACAAGGTGTGACATCGTTGTTCCTTTTATTGCGATAGCAACTATATGGACACTCTCGGCTGGATGTCACCGCCGACGTCGGCGTCAATGTCATGCACCGTATATATATATATATATATATATATATATATATATATATATATATATATATATATATATATATATATATATATATATATATGATAACGAAAACCCAAGAAAGAAAAAAATTGGCCCCGTATCTGCATGTTAATCTGCAAACGTCCAAAGACGATAGTCTTGCATGGGGAGAGAGTGAACAAAACATTTATTTGATGTTCTGCGCCAGAAAACTTGGTGAATGGTATTCTGGAGGCGCTGTATTAGAGTGCCTCGAGCGTGCAGCGGAGACAAACGAGCGCATCAAGTCACGTCATACGTGAAACATCAGCGCCATCTGGCAGTTTACTTGGAAAACGTTGCGCGTTCGAGACGGGGCGTGCGCCCGTCCCAGAGGTAATAAGGTGTAGAACGCAAGGCGACGGGCAGGTGCCACCACCGTGTAGTCTTAGCAAAGCGTTGGAAACACTCGCCTTTTCGTGCAAGTGTTGCATAGTCAGTGCAGCGTGATAAACGCTACGGTCCTTAGAATTACTTATGTATGCCTTTTCTAGTAAAAGATGCACATGTAGATCATATACGCGTTGTTATGGTGCCTCAGATATGCGCAATAATTGCTTTTTAATCGACAATCGCACAAATAGGAACGCTGAATTTTGAGCAACATTGGTGGGCGCTGCAGATGGGGTTGGCCGTTTGGGGTATCGGCTGGGGCCGTTTAGAGTACCCGGTACCGTAAGGGTAGACAAACAGACAAATGTACAGACAGACCAAAATTTTTGCGTCGAAAGTTCCCAAGAAAGACTATCGTCTTTAAAAATCCAGAAACTAGACTCCGGCGCGCACAATCGAACGTGGGACTTCCTCGTCGTGAATGCGAGGCACTACTTCTGAGCCACCGTGGGATCCTCCTTAGACGTTCAAACAGCAAGCTATTTATATCTACCACTCACGGCTGTTGGCGGGCATATCGGGAGGGGGGTAACTATCGTTTTTTCAGCATTATCCGCAAGATGCACACGGCGGCTTTGTCGGCGGCTCTCATTTCTCACGCGTACTTTGGCCCGCGTACAGAATTAGAGTGTGTACACTCGATCGCGGACCCTTATCTTGCAGTGGGGAGGATCGTACGTCGTACGTATTCTGTTCTAGTTACCGGGTGCACAAAGGTCACTGCAACCGTTGCACATCCTCCGTTTGCGAAACGGGCGCGCTTTTCAGACAGGGCGAAGTAACAACTGGGACGCTTATTCGCGTTCATATGTACCTGTGCGCATAAAGTTTCCTAATATACACTACAGGGAACTCTGGCGCTAGTGTCTATGGTAGCTGCAACGCACGGCATTTCAGTGAGCATAGGAATGATGGGTAGTACACACATTTGTCTAAACTTCGTACTTCTGGCCTGCTTTTGGCTCCGTGCGTGTTCGTGTGGCTTGGAGCTGTTTTCTCACGAAACAAAAATGAGCAAATTTTTAGCGATTGCGCTTCACCACCCTATTTTTTTAGACTTACCTTTCCAAAGTGGGTCACAAAGTTCAAAATGGTTCAATCTTTCTTTTAAAACAAAATCGAAACACAACAATACACGAAGCCGCAAGTACGATTCGCCGCCCGCAAGTACGAAGACTAGGCAAAAGTGTGTACTACCCATCATTCCCATGGTCGCTGAACAATCGCAGCGCCAGAGTGCCCTCTAGTTAATTTTGAGAAACTCTATGCCTGTGCGGACGTTTTGTGCGTCATTCGTGCGTGAGAAACGCAGGACACGTTTCCATCTACTTGCCATTATTTGCGTGACCTTCCAATTTATTGCTATTGCGTTCATTGCTTCGCCTCTATGGCAAAGCTGCGACTTTTCTTTTTCATCAATATAGTGAGTGAGGCTGAGTTACAGAGCGGAGAAGCCGCTTGACCTGCTTCGGCTTAAAGGGCATCTAAATATCCTCTGAAAATAACAAAAAACGATGGCGTTATTTTTTCCTGGTTTTCCTATCTTTTCTTGACGACGTGTCACTCCCGCGTTCTTTCTGCCATGAAGACCGAAGCTCTTCATTGGTTTGTATAAGATGGAACCATCAGTTATTTTTTCCAATCCTGCTTTGCCATGCTATCACAAGTTCTTTCTGTCACGTCTCGCATGACCATCATGTGCGATCAACTCATTTCGCTTTGTTTTGTGAGTTTCTCACTCTACATGCGAAAACAAAAGCGCGTAGTGAAAAAAAATGTCCGAAATGCTGATATTATGAGATATAAGGGCTGACAATGTACACGTGGCTTATGCATAATTAAGCGGTGAAAAGGGGATGACGCTGGTAAGAACGGTAGTGAAGACGTAAAGGAAAGCGCTTTCTCGTCTTTAGTCTTTGAGTGATTTAAATGTCTTTTAATGACAATATTCTTGCGCGAGCATTGAGTACACTGTGATTGACAATTGAAAAAATCAAGAAGGCACTTGTACAGCAATGAGCGAAACAACCTTTTAGCGAACAGGAAGAAGAACCAAGAAAAACGATTTAGGTGATTAGCGCTATCATCAACCATGATACATATTATAAGGGCAGTAAGGAGCCAGAAGATTTCACAAAATCAACTTACATCTCTTAAAGAAAAATTGTGAGTAGCACAGAATTCAGCGTTGAACTCCCACAGGTGAAAACAAGGTCACATGTATCAGGTTTATGTCAAAACGAAGGAATTGTGCTTGAAGATCATCATGTATGCTATCCCAAACGGCAGCAGAACATTATTAGAGGTTATTTGCAATGGTAATGAAGCAAGACGCAGCAAAATGACGAAGAAAAAGTACACCAGAGAGTTCTGGCGTACAGCTCTGGTGACTTAGATTTCCCTTATGAAATCACTTGTCAATGCACTTGCGAATTCGAGGTTAGGTATAGATAGGCTAGAGCCTGCTAGTACATAGTTAGGTAGCCTGCTTATGTGATGACACAGTTATGTCAGTCTGCTCTAATATATGTAAGCTGCCTAGACGGCAGGTCAGCGTATTTATGGTTTACTTTCTGATACCATCCAGGCACTTACGGACATCACACGCACACTTACTCAGGCGAAGCATGCTTCAATTACGTCATATAGTATCCGTAAATTAACTAGAGGGGACTCTGGCACTGGGATCGTTCAGCGACTATGGGAACGATAGGTAGTACACAAATTTGCCCAGTTTTCGTACTTGCGGGTGGCGAATCGTACTTGCGGCTGCATTTATTGCTGTGTTTCGGTTTTGTTTTGAAAGAAAGATTCAACCCTTTTGAACTTCGTGACCCGATTTGAAAAGGTAAGTCTAAAAGAAAAAGGTGGTGAAACGCAACCGCTGAAGGTTTGCTGCTTTTTGTTTTGTGAGAAAACAACTCCGAGCCACACGAACACACATGGAGCTAAAAGGAGGCCAGAAGTACGAAGATTAGACAAATGTGTGTACTACCAATCATTCCCATGCTCGGTGAAGTGCCGTGTGTTGCAACTCCCATAGACATATAGCGCCAGGAAGTAAAATGATAGAAGAATGGCAGGGAGGTTAACCAGCTTATAGGCCGTTGGTTTGCTACCCTGCGCGTGGGAGGGGAATGGGGAGATGAAAGATAGAGAGCAGAGAGGGAAGAGAAATAAACACAGCACATTCAGCAGCACACGCACTAACACTCAGTCATAGTGCCAGAGTTTCTTCTAGTGTATATTAGAAAACTCTATGTATGGCAGGACCGACACGTGCCATGGCAACGAAATGAACGCTGGCGAGCGAGCGCACCGCGTCACGTTGAACTGTATTGGTGCCTTGACTGTGGCATGTAGTCATGTTCTCACATGACAGGCGTCTCATGATTATCATTTTTGCACCAGTCACATACCTTCGTCATCCATTGGCGTCACGTAATACCAAATTTGACATATGTGAAGCTAGCGAAACGCCCTTGAGTGCATAATGAGTGTGTCATGTAGTCATGTTGTTACATGACACGCATGTCGTGATTATCATGTTTTATCCTGTATCATACCTTCGTCATCTATTCACGTCCCGTAATACCAAATTTGGTATGAGTGAAGCTAGCGAAATGGCCACCAGCGCATCAAGAGCGTGGCATGTGGCCATGTTGTTACACGACACGCATGTCAGAACTTTCATGCAAGCTTCTGTCGCTTGTGTTTGCCATGCAATCATGTCATGCCATACCAGTTTCGCAACATGCCAAGTGAACAAAACCACAGCAACAGCTGCAAAACAATAACGTGTAAATGATGACATACCTGTCATTATTTTCATGTTATGACTAGTCAATTATGCTCTTCATACAGTCATGTTATGCCATACCAAGTTTGGTAACGATATCATAATCGAAACGGCCAGCAGAGCTAAAACTCCTAGGCGGTTAGATAGATAGATAGATAGATAGATAGATAGATAGATAGATAGATAGATAGATAGATAGATAGATAGATAGATAGATAGATAGATGATAGATAGATAGATAGATAGATAGATAGATAGATAGATAGATAGATAGATAGATAGATAGATAGATAGATAGATAGATAGATAGATAGATAGATAGATAGATAGCTAGATAGATAGATAGATAGATAGATAGATAGATAGATAGATAGATAGATAGATAGATAGATAGATAGATAGATAGATAGATAGATGGATAGACGGATAGATAGATAGATAGATAGATAGATAGATAGATAGATAGATGGATAGATAGATGGATAGATAGATAGATAGATAGATAGATAGATGGATAGATAGATGGATAGATAGATGGATAGATGGATAGATAGATAGATGGATAGATAGATAGATGGATGGATAGATGGATAGATGGATAGATAGATAGATGGATAGATAGATAGATAGATAGATAGATAG